CATGATTTTCACCTGAAGGATCATACGGCGTTCTTCCTTAGCACGGCAGAATACTTGCACGGCCCCTGACAAAATATTAGATGGCTTTGAGCGGGACACAGTCAAATCCGGAGAGAAAACTGACGATTTTTTCGAAAATAGGGGAGGGGTGGAGGTAGGGCGTACTTCAATTTTTGGGAAAAAAAAAAATTCATAAATGGTTGAAGACTTATTTCGACCTATGGAACTCGCTCCGGAATTTTGGCCGTTCAATCAAGGGGTACCCTTCATCCGAATATTTCTTAGATCAAGATACACTTTTTGTAATGTTTCGATAATAAAAGTATTTGAGATTTTTGGACCGCGATATTTTGATACCTATGGAATTTTTGAAATTTTGATATCCATGCACTGTCGCCAATTTCCCTGGATGACCATTTCAAGCGTGGGGTTTTGAGTTTTTTGAACCACGATCTTTTGACACGTATGGAAATTTTTGAAACTTCGATCCTAGAAACTTATATACGCACTATAAATAATGGGACCGATGCGAATGGCCGAAAAAGGACAGAATATCCATGTCCTGTTGCCAATTTCCCCGGATGACCATTTCGAGCGCGGGATTTTGAGTTTTTTGAACACTGATATTTTGACCCCTATGGAAATTTTTGAAACTTCGATATGAAAAGGTTAAAAATGCGCCATAAATAATTGAGTCCATGCAACTGGTCGATAAAAGATCAGATATTAATGCCCTGTTGCCAATTTTCCTGGAGGTCTATTTCGAGCGCGGGATTTTGATTTCAGTATACATCTACAAGCACAGAATGTATCAGAGCACTCGTGCCAGGCTTATATTTCGTTATGTCTTGTAAAGTGGCAATACTCTTCATCTTCCATTTAAATGTGCGTAAATCAATCTATTCCTCGTGATGTTGGCCGCCAATGAATGAGCTCTTTCAATTTTTTTTTAATGATGATTCTGAAATTTACCTCCTTCCACATATAGTGTCCCATAAACAAATTGTAAAGGTACACCATTATAATGTTGGTACGTGACGCATGCGCGTAGATCACGATAGTTGATAGTTTATAGCATGCCGGCACAGAAAATCAAAACGCCTTCAAGGAATTGAATAGGCACACAGAGCTCCTAAGAGGTCGAATTGTGGTGTCAGCAGGTGTCAGTAGCGTAGACAAGGGGGGTGGTATCCAGGGGGTCTGGACCCCCCTCCCCCCTTAGCCTCGTTAGTTGTAACTTTTTTTTTTTATTTTTAGAGGGCAGACATATAATATTATCAGGGTCGTACACAAAATAATGTAAATGGACCCCCCACCTTAAAGAATTCCTAGGTACTCCACTGCCAGGTTTCACGCCCCACAGCACATACTTCAAGATTTTTTACTATAAACCGTATAATTTTTAGGTGATTTTTTTGCCAGCTAAACAATTATTTAACTTAAATGAACTTATTTGAATTTTATCTTTACGTTATCCAGGACAATATACGAGTAAATTGACCGTAATTGACCGAAGTTTCCGGGGTGCGGTGGCGTTTGCGGACGTGGCGTTTGCGGATTCTAAGAATCGGGTGGCGTTTGCGGATTCTCATATTTTGACGGTGGCGATTGCGGACATGCGGAACAGGGCTGTTGGACTTTGTGGACCGGAGAATTTCGGCGGTGGCGATTGCGGACGGAGGGATAGGCACCTACGTATGCTGCCCCCCACCCCTGCGCTGTATATTAAAGAGAAAAATTACCGGAGAGGCTCTGGATTCCTTGCCGTGGATGTAGAATGAAAACAATATTAGTATTAAACATTAGTATTATATTAGTATAAACACATATGAGCTGTGAACATACAGTAAATTTTTAAAAACAGGCATATCAGAAATCAAGAAACTGAAAAATCGTCAGTTTCAGTTCATTTTTAGGATGAAAAACATGTTGTAAATTCTAGCCCAAAATTACTGAAAGTCAAAAAATTAAAATGTGTTTTCATTTTTCGTTGTAATTTTTTGACTTTCAGTAATTTTGGACTAGAATTTACAACATGTTTTTCATCCTAAAAATGAACTGAAACTGACGATTTTTCAGTTTCTTGATTTCTGATATGCCTGTTTTTAAAAATTTACTGTATGTTCACAGCTCATATGTGTTTATACTAATATAATACTAATGTTTAATACTAATATTGTTTTCATTCTACATCCACGGCAAGGAATCCAGAGCCTCTCCGGTAATTTTTCTCTTTAATATACAGCGCAGGGGTGGGGGGCAGCATATGTAGGTGCCTATCCCTCCGTCCGCAATCGCCACCGCCGAAATTCTCCGGTCCACAAAGTCCACCAGCCCTGTTCCGCATGTCCGCAATCGCCACCGTCAAAATATGAGAATCCGCAAACGCCACCCGATTCTTAGAATCCGCAAACGCCACGTCCGCAAACGCCACCGCACCGTTTCCGGAAGGTTCACAAGTAAAAAAGAAAACACATTAGTTTTCCATGAAATGCGTAATTTCTTCCTGAATATTTGGCAACGTGTCAGCGCTGCACTAGACACATAGATGGCATAGATTTTTAATACGAAAAGGTCATTGAAAAAGAAACTCCTCCAAGTGAGAATCTGATTGTTAATTTAGCGTGCCGCGACGGCGAATTAAAACGCCTTCGATGAATTGAATAGGCACACCGAGCTCCCAGGAGGTCGAATAGTGGTATCACGCCCTTCAGCACATACGAGGTGTGTTCAACAAGTTACCGGACTAATGCCGCCTTGGCCGTAAAAGCACAGGAGAAAAAACGGGAAACAAGGCTAAAAATTACACATAAAAATGCCAAGACGTTTCGGCCCAAGACTGAGCCATTTTCAGTCGGAGGAATAAAAATAAAATATAAAAATTCCGGATAGGAACCTGCAGACTACATGATGGCCGAGAAAATCAAAACAAAGAGAAGAGAGCAGTCTGCAGGTCTCTATTTGGAATTTTTATATTTTATTTTTATTCTTCCGACTGAACATGACTCAGTTTTGGGCCGAGACGTCTCGGCTTTTTTATGTGTAATTTTTAGCCTTGTTTCCCGTTTTTCCTCCTATGTTTTTGATATCACCATTGTTACGGGCTGCTGTTTCAGAAATTTTAACCTGGCCGTAAAAATGGACCGATCAACCTCAACTGGAGCTCATTTGAAAGCTTATACTCTCACGAGTACAAGGCTTTTTAGTTTTCTCAAAAGAAATATCCATCAGTTTTTGTAGAACGTTAATTTTACGGCGACATTCTTGGTCCGCTCGGCGATTTTGTCAATCCACAAATTTTCTGATGGACTGATCCACCTGACACATCCAAATCTACTGCAATTTTTACAATTTTAGTACAAGCGTTTCCTCTGACAAAAGTACAAACTTTTCCCACATTTGCATCATTCAGAAGTCGTGGGTCGTCCCGATCTTTCATCATCTTCCACTGCCGTCCTGCCCTCGAGGAAACGCGAATGTCATACTAAATCACCGACTCCAGCCCATCGCATCATCACCCTTACACTTGCTTGATTAGTTCAAAAGTCACCTCCGCAGATTTTCGAAACGTATTCATTTGAGGGGTTTGGGTGCAGTTTTTGCTATTTCGATAAACACGCGATTGAAGTTTCGAAATTACATGGATCTTTAAGACGGAAAAAAGGTTCAACCAACTTCTTGATGCTTAAAAATTGGAATTTGGGAGCGAATTTTTTCACAGAATATGCATTAAGACAATTTTCACTTAAAATGATTAATATCTTGATTTTTCCAAGAACTGCGCTCATGCGTCTTGTCCTCCAAGCCCCTCGTTTTATGTTTACCCTTCGCTCAATTTTAGCAAGCATTTTCGCGGGAATCATATTGACCGACCAGAAACAAACTGAACTGACTCGATCGTCGATGAAAATTGAAGTGTGGTCGGAAACTTGCATCTTTTGGGGTTTAAAATGACACTAATCAGCTACACTTGAGTGCATTTTCTTGTGCAAGTAGACCACGCCCATGTATAAAATTGATTCTTATCAGCATCCTCACTGCTTGAGCTTGTCTTATCTATCACCCACCTAACACTCAGGTATGAATATCGATGATTATGTTCCCCGACATAAATTCGCCAAGCAGCGCCAAGCACGACTCTGCAGAATTGACGCTGTACGAACATAAATTAACTAGGGGGCCCTAAAATAAATTAACTATGAACCCCCCGGCCGCTAAGCAGCCCAACTCCCAGAAGGCGCTTCGCGCTCTCTTAAGCCCGCGTCGACAATAGAACGACCAAAAAAAATGAAAAGATTTTCATACCCGACTCTCATTTTTCCAATCTCCCTCTGGCCTGGAGCGACTGGGCCAATAAGAATCGAATGAAAAAATCGACATTTATTTCAAACTGCACGCCAAGACCGAAACGAAACGGAATAGAACATTTCGTCACTTTTGGATGTCTGTAGCAAGGGAGCATACCTTCGATTTATTTACCCTACTTACAGACCAAGATTCAACATTTCCCGCTTAGTTCAATTTTGCCCCTCTTCCTAAGCTCTCCGGTAGAGCACAGGGGAGAATTTCATGAGCCGCCACTCACCCGCGTCGCACTATGGTCCAAAATTGAATAGAAAGGAATAAGTCGGATAATGACTGAAAGATCACGAAAGTTTCGTTATAGATGTTTTATGAGTCTCTAATTTCGAATTTGATGTCAAATTGCCAACATTTTAACACCCTGACCTATTAATTGTGTGTAAGTTTATGGTAAGCTGTGGCGCGGTGTGCCGCCAGCTCGAAACGCGTACTGACGCCTACAAACCTAAGTGGATACTTCAAGCATTGCGCAATGCGTGAAGTAGCCCCTTAGGTTTGTAGGCGTCGGCGTCGGTGCGCGTTTTGAGCGCCACGAACTTGGCAATGCTGGATGAGCTACCCTTGCGCTCCTGGCGGTGTTAAAGGTAACTTGTCTGTTTATTTTTTTGCACATTATGACAACCTCGAGCCCGAAAGAAACCAAACAATCTTTTATCAATCCCAAGTTCCAAAAGTTCCGAGTGAATTGAAGTATTCAGCAGCAGCCTAGTGATGTATTCAGTGGAATGGTCTACATTGCCCTCGATTGAGTGTATTTAGTGTCAAGATAAGCGAATGCTGAACTTTAGTAAATATGGACAAATTTTCCCCGAATTACTTAAATTTCGGCAGCGCATTTCGCAGTTGCTGTGATGGCTGTGAGTGTGTCACTATCATGTCATGATAACAGCAGTCTTCGGTTTTTCATCTAATCAACTCAAGTCTTTCACAGAACCTCACCAATGCTTTTTGGTTTTATTCCATTATTATTCTCAAAGAAGTTAATAGGTGGAAGTGGAGCTCGCAACTTTCCATGTAACCTCACTCAAGTGACATGACTTTCGAGGACCCGTTTTTCGTCGTCAAAGAGTAAGTACTGGCCACCTTTTCAATCAGTTTTGTTTGCGGTTATTTTACCCTTGACATTGCCGCCCAGCTTGAAGCCAGTACCCATAATGCCTAATGGATGCCAGCCGTCAATGTTCAACCGGACTGTGATACCTTCCGTTCCAAGGGTATTCAAGAGTGTATGCATTACAGGTTGATCCTCCCAGGCAAGAGGATCTAGATCAGCCTCAAGGCACCTAAACAAGCCCATTTTTCCGGGACTGAACCCAGTGGGCTGAATTCGAATGAAGTTGGGCAGATCTAGGTTACTTTTTATGGCTTACTGAAAAGCTTTAGAATGGCGAACTGGAAATCTTTAGTATGGCCAACTGGAAAGATCAGGGAAGCTTTCAAGAAATGGCATGGAGTATTTTCCTGTACACCTATATAGTAATAGATGGCAGGATGGCTATAACACTGCAAATTGAAAATTTTGTTACTACAGTGTCACTGCCAATCTGTGCTGGTCCTGAATTGAAAAAAGAACTGGTTGCTCCTTATTGCAAAATGTAGTCCAATGAGCCCGTTGCAAACTTTTGTTAGAGCAAAAATAAGAGTTGTTTCTTGTAGAATATGGCTCAAAAATCACGATGAGGGCATTGACAAAGTCAGAAATACACTCCTAACTTCACAATCTGCGCAAGAAATTTGCGTTTTTTTGAGCTTCCTGCTTCGAAAACGATACTACAGTACAGGTGAACATTTCGTTACAGGAGTCGTTTCTTCCAACCTCTGTACAATTGAATACTGCACAATATTCAATATGGTCAACGCTAATCCACCAAAACGCATGCGCAGGGACGAGATTCTAACCATTTGTTAACAACCTGGCATGTTTACATTCACGTTTTCTTCGTGTTGTTCAAGATCCGTTTTGATAGCATCGATTTTGTCGAGTATTGCGAAACATTACATGACGCAGGGGTTGAATGGAAAGACTCTTCTAACGAGATGTTCACCTGTACTGTAGTATCGTTTTCGAAGCGGAAAGCCAAAAAAACGCAAATTTCTTATGCAGATTATGAAGTTAGGCGTGCATTTCAGACTTTACCAATGTGCTCATCATGAATTTTTAGCCATTTCTATAAGAAACAACTCTTTTTCTTGCTTTAGCAAAAGTTTGCAACAGGCCCATTAAGGTTAATTATTCATTTAATGTACAAGTTTTGCAAGTTTTGCATCATACATTATGCCAATGACCATGATGATATCCGTAAACAATGTTTAAAGGATTTAAAGACAATTAGTGTAAAAATACTCTATATCATTGTGATGGATAAAGTGTTTCATTACATCACAATTTTTTCTTAAATGTGTAATAACAATTTCTTCTCTCATTTAGTATCTAGTGATTATCCTAAATTCTATTTTCCCTGTTTTTCTTCCATCTAACTTTCGTTTAGCATGTGAATGCGGCTAACTAACCCCTTGCGCATGGCATGGGAACAAGTACATCAGAGATGTTTTGAGAACTTGCCTCTCTCCTCCACCGTTCCCCTAGAGCAAGACGTAATTCATGGCCACGGGAGGCCCTTGAACATAAAATTATCAGTGCAGGCAGGAAAAGGAGAGGAACATAAAATACTTCATTAAAAATTCTTGCTTATATTAAACTCTTAGAGTATACACAAGAGATTTGAAAATCATCCTACTAATTAAGATGATGTTTCCTTTAAGGGAGGTATCTAAAGCGCTGAGTAAAACTCGAAGTCTGTACCAGAGGTGGATTGAACTGCAAGACAAAGCTTCCTCATCAAACCTGCACAAAGATGAGCTGGAATGGACAACTACAGAATTACGAAATTCTCTCCGTAGTATAGAGTGGGATCTTGAAGACCTAGAGGACACCATTAATATCCTTTTCTATCTCTAACCTGTTTCTATCTTTAATCCTTTTCTTTTTATGGCTACATGTTGACCTCATAATGACTCCTATCGTAGAATAATTTTCAGTCAACAAGCTGTTGGGATTGATTATTTTCCTTCCTTTTGACTAAGATCATGAAGAAAAGGGACTAAAATCCGAGCTTACCATTTGGATATGAGAACACCACTCCGGAAAAGACTTTTAAAGATCTGAAAAACTGAATGCGCAACATCCAAAATATGAAATGTAAAGAAGAAAATTAAACGATATTGAGAAACAAAGGTTTTAAAAGTTTGAGTAACTTTCTTGAGATGAAATCCACAATCTCATGTTCACATTTTCTCCGGCTATTTAGACGGAGACGTTCATGGAAAACTGAAGAAATCAGTAAAAATATTTTCCTGTCACCTATATTTTTATGGCGATTATTTCCATGACTCGCCCAGTTCTCACTTTGGTACATTATCCAGCATATCTTTAAATATTTACCTATAAATAATGACAATTTACGCACTGTTATCAATTATGATGACAATATAGGAAGACATCGTTTATTTTTTTAAATTTCTCTCGCATTTGGAAGTGACTGAATAAGGGTTGTGGTATTGATTTAAACCTTTCATGAAAGTTCCAAGGTTTTACTGAGAGATAGATCTAACATGAGCATGAACATTTGGCATGCTCAATCAGAAGTCCTCTTTCTTTGAGTCGCTACCAAGAAATCTTCGTACGTGTATGTCAAAATGAAATGATAATTTTCTTTTAACTGAAGTACCAATGGTGATGGAATTCTTTTTAGTCCCACATATTAAGCTTGTCTACTGTCAACAGGTCTCTTTTCTGTCTTTTTCATTGGTTTTTGGTCTATTTTTTCTTTTTGTGTGCTGTGGTATTTTTAAGAGGACTGGTCAAAATTTTGGTGGAAGTCGTGTTAGAACCTGTAAGTAGTATACTTCATACCCCCCACTCATATATCATTAGCCCATCAGCCTAGTTGCTTAAGTAAATAGTAGTAACAACTGATCAAACATGAAAACAGGGAGCTCAGTACAAGCTTAAAAAGTCATTTAAATTCAATTCTTTCCTTGAAAAAAGTAAATTATTTCGAAGGAAAGAAAGGAGCGAATAATTAAAGCAGAGCCTTCCAATAGGTTGAGATGAAACCTGACCTTTGTCAGCACAAGAGAAGAAACACAATCAATGTTCGTCCCTGATGCTACTTTATTAGAAACAATTTGGCATTATGTAAAGCAAAACATCAGTTCTGCAGCCTGATTGTTGAAACTTTAACTTGCTATGTCGGCAAGATAAGACAAGACGTAGCCATATCTGCGCCGCCGTGTAATGTATCGATTTTCGATCCCGGTCGTGCCGACATGAATTTCAACGATCAGGCTGCGGGTATGCTGATGCTCTAATTTGAATGTTTTCATACCCTGAGAAATGAGCTTTTCACACTCACACCTTTTCAGTATTAATTTTCTCAATATCTGAAATGGAACTTGTCAAGTGGAATTGTCCTACCTCTCTTTTCACTGTCTTACTAATCAAGTAGCCAACCTTAACTTTTTCAAACGCATTGTAGAAAAGAATCCTACCAAAATTAAAATTGACTCCAAAGAGCTTGGTGCCCGGAAAACGTTCATTGAACAGACTAGAGCTGAGGTCAAGGTATGTTTATTTATCTTCACATCTATCCTATAACTAACTTTGTTGCTCAGCTATAATTCTATTGACTCACATAATCCTCAAATTTCTTAAATAACCAAATGCACAATAATGCATGAGCAATGAATGCATTTGTGATTCAGAAGTTTCGAGTGTTCAGAACACTGCATGATCAAAATTGCCCTACTCATATATTTCAGAAAAAAATCTGAATATATTACAATTGCTGTTTTTATTTTTTTCATTTATTAATTTTTTCCCCCTTTTCTTTCAGGGAATGAAAGACAAGATGAACTTTGCAAGAGGAAGAGATAAAGATCGTATTGTCAGGCAGGTAAGTCAAGGTTTAGCCCCTCAAGAAAAATAAAACAAAAAAGGAAGCGTAATATAGCACAAAACAAACAGCGACAATGACATCCAGGCAAACTTGACTTGGTACCAGTGTACTTAACATCGTATCACACACGTATCATTGAGTATCAACACGTATCATTTGAGTTTAAGTAGCTATCTGGCATTGGCCCATCGAGCTCAATTTTCAGAACCCATTGAAGATTTTTTAGGAGCCAAATTGAATTTGTGCCGGTATGTCATGGCGCAAAATCTGCAACCGCTTGCTTGAAAAGATCAGTTCTGTGCCGACTGACAAAAAATCACCAATCATAAAAATTAGGATTGCTGCAATTTTTATTAGAGGCCTTTTTTAGTTAGAGTCTTCATTTCTCAGGGGCTATGGCAGACATATTTTAAGAGCTTTTGAGTTTTGAACACTGATAAGTGCATGCAATGCCTTCAATTCTATTAAATAAATGAGGAGCTTGGAGGACAAGGTGCAGAAGTGTAATTTTTGAACAAATTGAGGTATTAATGATTTCTAGTAAAATTAGTCTTAATCTCTTAATGTATATTCTGTGAATACTCGCTCCCAGATTCTAATTCTAATGTCGTCACCCGTGCAAGCATTGCGATGCAACTGAAATCATGCGCTTTCTACTATCTTAATTGAAGGGCTTGGTGGATAAGACGCATAAGTGCAGTTTTTAAAAAAATTGAGAAATTAGTGATTTCAACCAAATCTAGGTTTGAAATAAATTCTGAGAAAAATGTATTGGTAAAATCCAATTTTCAAGCATCAAAAAGTTGGCTAGAACTTTCTTTCTGTCATAAAGATCCATGTAATTTCGAAATTTCAAACACGTATTTCTCGAAATAGCTAATCTGCACTTATGCGCCTTGTCCTCCAAGCCCTTCAAATCTTGTTTTATAGTAAAATTCCACATGAAAGTGCTGCAGTAGTGAAAGAAAGTCCTTAGGGCTTTAAGGGACCAATTTGCAACTTTTTAAGTAGGACTTGATTTTTAATCTTAAGATTTGTATATTTTCATCTCTTTCTTCCAGCCCTGTGCAAATCTTTCCTCTTTATTTCAGTCATATTGATAAAATTTATTACTGTTTCAGCCCCTGCTGGACACAAGCCCTGTTCGTGTAGCAAGTTCGCACACATCAACCAAATATTCTCGGTTGGATAATCAACTAGACAGTCCTAATCGCCAGTTTTTGACTGGCCTGGGGCAACAAAGTAGCATGTTAGCAGCCCAAGATGCGCAGCTTGATATGATTGCAGAATCAATAGGCACTTTGAAAACAGTCTCCCATCATATCAACACAGAATTAGACGAACAAGCTGTGTAAGTATTTCTATCCTTGTTTTTTATGTCGCTGGAAATATTGTGGAACCCAGACTAACTTTTTTGATCGATACTGAAACCTACCAAAAACCCCTAGAAAGTATTCTAGCGAGTGAGAAAAAGGAAAGAAAATGTGCTAACAAGTTAGAAAAATTCTGATTCTAAAGTCTCAAAAGACATCAGATACACATTGAATATCGTATTAGGAAAACCATTTTGGCCTCTGAAAAAGCAGAAATAGCTCTCAAATACTGACCAAGCTGCTCTAGATGGTCCCTAAATTTTTTGGTAGGATTCGAACATTGATGGGTGCTATTGCATACGATTATTCCCCAGGATGGGAACAGGCCTCAACATTCCCTCTGTAAAAAATTCTCCTAAGTTCAAAGCAAATTCTAGAGGACCTCAAATTTTTACTCATCTATTTTTATCTTATTGATTTAAAAAAAAAACGCACTTTTCTTGATGTCATTGAATTCATTATCTCAAAGCTTAGTGATGGCAATCTTATTTTTTCTTCAATTTTAATCTGGACTTCTAAATGAAAATTTATTGGTGCTTCACTTACTAGCAGAAATGATTATTTTAGTCTAAATTCCATTGGATATTGGATTTCTAAAGACAGCTATTTGTGCTAAAACCTTTTAAGTAAAAACTAAATCTTGTCAATAAATAGTGCGTAAACTTATTTGACTTAGAAATATCTCCATTAAACATCATTCCGAGTCAAAAATTGAAGTTTTTAGACCATTTTCTTCAAGATAGAAACCAATTATAAAGAATTCTACTGCTCAAGCAAATTCATACCTATTATATAGTCCACCTGTCTCTTAACAAGGAAAAGTATTACGTTATTTCAGATTTGTTTTTTCTTTTAGGATGCTGGATGACTTCGGGCATGAATTGGGTGTTGTTGAATCAAAGTTAGATACCACTCTGAAAAAAGTCTCCAAAGTCTTGCATATTTCTAATGGTAAGATCCTTCCTATCGCTTTTAATTTCTTCTATTTTTGTAATATCAGCTGTTTTTATTTCAATTTTAATTTTTTTTTTTTTTTTGTACCAAAAGACATACATTTTTCTTTTCTTAATCCTTGAGTGTTGTGTCCCTTAATGGATTTGGCTGCCCACTTGTTCTTCCTCATTTGCTCCTACCATTCTATGGCTCGGATGAGAAAAAAAGAAAAAAAAATCAAGATCAGGATTCAAAAAATATTTAGCTTAAACTTGCAAGAAGGACTACACATAAGTCATGACATTATAGTAACAAACGACCTGTTGTCAGCCTCCAAAGCCTAAAGCTGTGTCATGGGAAAATGTAGATGCCCTGCCATCAGGGCAATCAATGTTTTATAGAGTTTCGAAAATCTTGTTTAACTTGGTTTTCATAAATTCAATCCATAGTCAAGTTCCTAAGTGCTTGGACTTGCGTAGAGTGAAAATACTAATATTATTAACATGTGCTGGGCCATATAACAAGATGATGTAAAAATAAGCCTGTTTGGCTAATGGTCTGTGAAAACATTTCAGAATCGTCACAAAAGTATCGGTGTAACGTCCTTTTTGGCAGCTGCCGTTTTCAATGTTGCAGTAGCGATTTTGTAATGTATCTGCAACTTTTTTGCCCACTGTTTGCCGAGCGGGAGAAGTTCAAAACTTCAGCAAATCAACAAAAAATAGCTCTGAAATTATCAACCAGTGCCAGACAGTACATTGTAGGCTTTTTTTTGTCATTTCTGAAGTGAATTTACCGTGACTAATTTGAACAATTTTCTGTTTTGCAGATAGGAGACAGTGGATGACAATACTAGTACTATCAGGACTCCTAGTCATAATTATTATCTTGTTTATTGTTCTATAAGCTGACCCCTGTCAAATTAGTGATTTTCTATTAGTAAAAGTTGTTTGCATCAATCTGCTCCAACACACCAAAGTTTCGGAAGCATGAAGTAACGCCAGAGTATGTTATGCCTTGGTCTATTGAAATTTGGGATACCAATTTTTATTCGGCCAATTCATAGCATTTGGAACAGATCCTGCACTTTATGAAATATAAGGGATGTATTTATTGGAAAAAGAAATATGACCTGCGTGTTTTGGAAAAGAGGAGTCAGAAACTCTATTTTGACTTTCGCTGGACAGCAGATCTTCAGCTGCCAGTTAATTCTGACTTCATGCTAATGACATCATCATGTAAACGGCATTTGTGAATAAGTTGATTTTTTAAATCACTGCAAAATTTGCCAGCATCGATTGTTGATTTCAATGTTCTTACATTGCAAACTGAAAATTTGCGATGAAAAAACGACAGGTTAATTTTTTTCTCATCATATGCCTTCCAAAGGAAGGATTCATTTTACTTTAAAATTGCTTTTGTTACTTCTCTAAATTTCCATTTAACTAATTTTCATTCAGAGACGCAAGGTCATAGGCATCTGTTGGGGAATGAATGGGGAAAGGAAGCCTGCCTTCCTTGAAATGCGTCCTTTTGACCCCTTCCTCGAAATGCGTCCTTTTGACTCCCTCCTCATAAGAGAAATGCAGTGAAGAGGAATGGCGGAAGGAGAAACTGCTATAGAAAAGGTTTAAGAAGTTTTTATGGTGAACTTTGATCAAAATGTAAGTTCAAATAGCTTCAAAAATAATAAACAAATGGTACTCTTTCTAAGTTTTGTGAGAGAAGACGACTGGATCCCTCTTTTCTGATGATCAAGGAAAATTTGCAATAGAAAATAACGTTTATAATGCTAATTAAGGTTATTGCGGCGTTTAAGGTGTTTAATGTTTTATTGTATAGAAGGCTAGAAAAAAGTAAAGTCAGGAAGTACTCTCTGAAGAAGACTGAAGCGTTTTGGCATATCAATGGTGAAACTGCAGAAACGCGTGTCTCAATTTGCAGCGTTGCAGACATCCTGTCGTATGTACTTTTTATTTTAAATGGAAAAATACTGAATGGCAATCCCAGAAAATTGTTGTGGTTTTTCCTCTCTGAGCAAAAAAATTCTATGAAAACTTCATGGAACAATGTTGATTTTTTCTCTCGAAAAATAGAAAGGAAAAATTGGAGCGGAGATTTTGAAACACTGTAAACAACATGCATTCTTTCAGTTTCGTCATCAAAATTGATAGTGTAACTGCAAGTGTATGTATCTAATTTGCGGTCTCTTAAAAGTTCCAATCTCATTTTATTTGATCAGGAGAAAATAAACCAACGGCATTGCTTGAAATTTCTGTAGACGAATAGACTTTTGCGTTGCTGCAGTTTCATCATTGACTTAAATTCTCAAAGTACAATCACGTGATTACAACAGAATAAAAAAATAGAAAATGGGTAAAAAAGGCCAAAATATAGAAACACTAAAAAGGTAGGACGTTTAGAGCCATCATCGGCTCATTTTTATACGCAAAAAACGATGAAAATTTATAAAATATTAAGTGGTAACCTGATCCCAGTTGTGATAACGCAACCACGGGTATTCGATGACCGACCATGAATTCCAGTGGTTGCATTATCAAAACTGGGATCGAGTTGTCACACAATATTTTATAAATTTCTCTTATTTTGTGCAGCTGAAAATGAGCCTGTGAGGGCTTGAAAAGTTGTGCTTTTCTAGTGATTTAATATTTTAGCCTTGTTTTACCCACTCTTCACTTTTTTATTCTATTGTTTTTGTGTTCTCAGGCCCAGGCTATGTTTTTGTGCTTTATCTATTAAGTGAAGAGATAAAGATTGAATTTTAAAGTGTTGTAAAAATGGTTTAAATTGATGACGCATTGAGTACTCATCACACTGTCACAATTGTGCATTTCTACGTGTGCGTTAGTCTGGAGGTTCTCTGCCTTGCTTGTTGTTAATTTTTCGTTGGTTATTTTTAATCTATTTTTTGTCTGTTATTTATTTTTTTATTATTTGATGTACATTTTTTTCTTTCAATTTTATTTTGTGTAACTGATTACTATACCTTGATTAATGTGTGGGCAAAAATGTCTTACATGTGTTTTAATGAGTCAATTGTGTAAGTAACATAATTGTATTTTATCGGAGTCTGAGAAATTACGGATAATTCAGAAGACGTCAAGATGCTTTATTTGTTTTTACAGTCAACATTATTTAAGATTTTATTTGTCAGAGTTGAAAAATGCGCATGGCAGACTGTGACTTTGCAAGTGTCCGCTCATGTTTAATTTTTTTAAAAGAAAGTAATCAGTAATTTTCCTGAAAATTTCGGTGCATTTCCTTGGTTCATCCATTAGTATTCTCAAAAAATAACAGGGAAAACGTTTTGGTTGTAATTCTTACAAAAATAGGAGATCAAACAGAAATTTGTAAAAATCGACTTGTAGAGACACATTTTTTTACTCTAGCCATTGTAATCTTTCTTTATTTGGATGACAAGGTCTTCTTACTACACCAAAATATGTCCTGATTTCTTCAATTTTTTTCTTATGAATCAGCTAAACGTAAAATTAAGATGGTTACGTGGCAAGACTAGTGTCGAGACCAAGATTGGAAATCATAATAAAATATAACATGTTATGTACCACTGCGGAAGATGGCATTTTGAAAATTTTTCATTGAATCATGCGAAAGAAACAGAGATCACAGAGGAGTCAGCACCAAATGGCGTCCTCTTTTCAGCACCGAAAGGAAACATTTGTAACCCTTTGAACAAGTAATTTTAAAAAAAAAAATTAACTCAAACTCCTCTATTTTACCATTTTCCTTTCAAAAGACTCCATGGATTATTGTGTTATTTCCAAATTATTCTTAAAGAATAAATCGATTATTCTCGTCCTTAGATTGTCTTTCTACCCAATTGACTTGATTTATTTATTTTTTTTTTTTTTTTTTTTTTTTTTTTTTTTTTTTTGTAGTAAGTACAAAGTCAAAAGATAATTGTGATCAGTAATTTCTCCTATGATTTTTAAATTTTTATTTTATTTTCATTTTTTGTCGTATTGTCTTGTAATGGTTTTTTATGCGGTGTCTAGAAGATAATTTCTCGTGTATTTATTTTAAACCAGTTACATTTCCATTGTATTTTAATATCATTGTAGAATTAAGTATTTTTCACCATCTCAATTGGATGTTCATTTCTCTTAATCCCTTCATCATTGTTCACAATCTTAGGTTTTATGCTCAAAGTTCTAAATTTAACCATTTTTCCATGTGATGTTTGAGCATCTACTTGCCCTGCGGTCCACAGCGATCAAACATTTAATAACTTATTAAAGTAAGCGAAACCTACCTTTAATCCCTTAAAAAACAGTCCTTTATTATTTACATAATTTTACATCGTTTTACTTACTTTTGCTCCCAATTCACTCACACAATCATCAATTTTCTCAATTTATTATTTTTATTTTATCTAATTGAGAATCCTGATGAATTGATTTTTTACAAAATGTGGCCACCCTTGCCATCTCTTCTGTCTATGAATAGACTCTATCATTGTAATCACTCTAAATGCCTTAAAAGCAAAACGGAAATAATAAAAGAACATAGCATTAAAAGTTTGTTGAAATTGTTTATTGACCCTCTACTTATCCATCCTGTGTACGAGCCGGACCATTTTATCATAACCTTTTGTTGCTTACCGTAGCCAAATGCTTTATTTTGAAGACAAAAGTACTAAATTAGTTTATATTTCATCGCAAAGACAAAACAAGAAGACAAATTTCAAAATATTGCAATCAAGATTTTTCTCTGTTTCTTTTTTTATTTTACCATTGCTATGTGCAGCTCACAATCAGTAAGGATTTTGAAATACTCACAAGGAGAAAATACGTAATAAAATCATACAATATGATTGTGAGTCTAATCAATTTTAAGTTCTTCAAGTTGAATTTCTAGAGAACATAACAGCAGATTTTAATTGATTTTTACAAAGTTACATAGATAACTGAACACTGACAATCAGTTGAAACAAGGATTATGGTTTAGAGGCTTACCAGCCTTCTCTTAAAAATTCATCAAGTTAATAACAGCATAAGTGCTGTAAAAATAAAAAATTGAATCAAATGTGTCATGTCACTCTAAAGGGCTGTTCCTAAAATGTGTAGAGCCTTTCGGATTTCATGAGTCGAGCATGCAAATTTGATGAGAAAAATCACTTTTGCTCTAAAGCAACATGACTGCAATCACGAAGAGAAAAGATTTATTTTCAGTTCTCTACGTTTGTAACTTCGTAAAAATCTATTAGAAACTGCTGCTAAGTTCTGTAAAAGTTTAACAAAAAAACACTCAGAAATGACTAAACTCAGACTGTACGTATGATTCTTTTAATGAGGAACATAACATTTTTAAAAATGAAACAAAATTGTTTTGGAAATGGTCGATACCGTAAAATTTTGATTTTTTGGAGATGTCGTTGTCTTTCTCACTAAGCTTTCTCCATGTAGAAAATAAGTAGCAAATATTTCCATGAAGATAACAATTTTGCGGTAAAAATAGTGAAATTGTTGTAAAACACCGCAATCAGCAAGAATTCTGTTGAGAAGAATTTGAATTAATTGCCGAAGTTTTTTTTTTTCAGTGAAAATAGCTTAGCATAGAATCTGTTATAGCAGTAATCCGGTCGTTTCTACATTGGTTAAAAAGTACTTTCTGCATAGTAAAGCAAGGGGAAGAATTTCATGAATCAGCAAAGTAAAAATACCAAGTTTTTGCGTATTTCCCTCAGACTTTTTCCCAATTTTTGTATTTTATCAAAGCCTCTTCTACGGTTTTGGTCTCTGCACTCTATTTCCACCACTGTAGAACCGCCCATGCTCTTGGTGCTCTCTTAAAATTGAGAAAAACGGTCACCCATAACATAATTCTTACATGCGCTCAGTCGGACCCTTGAGCGACAATTTAAATGTTGGCGCGTTTCCGGCAATTATAATTGGCAGAGGTAATGCCAACTGTATTGTCACATTCTTGCTGAAATACACTGAATTAATGGTCTCTCTTATTCATTAAGCGCATTTTATTGTGTCTCTTTACCATCAATTTTTAAATATCAAACGTGAAAAATAAAAATTTTTAGTTTTTACTTTAAATTACTCCATTTTAGAATCAACCTGTCATCACTTGTCCAGTTTTGACGTTGGTGTTACTTCAGGTGTTTCGGCGCCAAGTGATCCCACCGGTTTCATCCGGCTGAAAGTCAACAGCCATCGCATCTGTTATCATTTGAACTGTGTGTTTCGTCTTTTCACATTTCCCAGTGTTAAAAATTAATGATTTGCCCATTATTCTCCAAATTTCCTCTCGAATATTGTGTGTGTTGTATGTTTTATCACGGTAAGTATCAGCTGTATCACCATTCTCACAGCTATCATAGTTTTTGGCCCATCCTTCCCTCAGGTACTGCTTTGTTTATGTACTTCTTGCCATGTCGAAGAAGTTCATTCTTGTCAGGTTTGCGCATGGTTTGAGCTCCCGTTTCCTGTGCAAGCGGAACCTACCGTTAGAAATTGCTTTGAATATTAGTATCTGCACGATTTTACGTAGTCTCCTTCTACCTCAAGACAGGAATTCCTTCGATCCTGGAGAGGATCGGCAGTAGGAGCCCTGCGAGTGCTCCATCCGGCATTTGATGTATCACACCTTTGCAAGCTGAGTATTAGATCAATTCATGTCAAAAGGGTGTGTTTCTTGGCTTCTCCATGATCTGTCTCTCAGTTTTCACTATGCTGTTTTGCTGGGCGCTTTTGTGGACAAAACAACCACGGGCCATAATCTGAAAAAGTCTAGATTCATAGAGCTCGCGCATCGCATGTTGAGACAAACGTCAATCTCCGATAAGCTCTGAATTCACACCACTCAACAGCTTAATACATGTAGTCAGGTGGCACCACCGGTGAATGGTGACATGAACAATAGTTTGATGTTTGTCTCAACATATGGTGCGCGAGCTTCAGTAGGAATGTCCTGAGGTCTTTATTTTCTTGCAACTAGTCCAACATTCATTTAAGTATTGAAGTAACTCTGACAAATAATAGATATCTGGAAACCCAAGAGCGCAGTTAAATGACATTTTGAGTGAAACAGATCGCTGTATACAGTTTTTAGTCCTATTTATGAAATTTCCAGCACCGCTCAAAATCCATGAAGGAATTGGAAATCCAAGAAATTTTTCCTCATTGACTTGCACAGATCTCCCTATCAATTGTTTAAGGACACTGCGATCCCACATTCTTCTCATGCTTTCCTGAGCAACGCGAGTTATCACTCAAGCATTTTTCCCATGCTAAAGTGCTCATGATTATTGGAGGCCGTGACTAAATTTATGTTAAAGTGCACATGTAGTGAAAGGTATTTCAAATTTAAATTACTTAAGTATTGTCAGAAAGAAAAGACCGACTTTAAAGAAATTTCAATAGAAGTTAAGCGCCCCAAAATGATCAAAATTCTATTCAAATGTTGCTTTGATTGACTTCCCAAGACAAAGTTTTTTTTCACATCATGCTACTATGTTTCTCCCATTTGTTCAGTAGTGTGTTTGGTTCTGTATTCAATATATTTGTTTACTACATTGAAAGGTTCTTTTTTACAGATGGCAGATATGAACTCGATTTTTAATTCCATCAACTTTTGTCTACTAGAAGACCGACTTGAGACTTACAAGAAATGGCAGTTTGGCAATGATGCTCCATGCAGTGCTAGTAAGGTAATAACACTTTCTATTTTTGCCCGTTTATACTGTGTTCCAACAGTAAAATTGTTGTACAGTAGCTGAAATGGCTGACCTCCCATTCTTGCAAGTTCAAATCGCAATCATCAATGAAACTTTTTTAAGGTAAAAAAGTAGAATACTACTCTTTTTAGTTAACAACTCAGCACAATCTGTACAATTTAGTATTTTCAGTAGAAACTTTTCTGGTGTACAATTTTTTTCCTCTCAAGCCCAAAGTTTTTTCTCTCTCTCAAAAAAAACGAAAAAAACACCAGACTCATTTACCAAAATATTTGCATGTGAAGGAAATTAATACTTTACTCGAGTTCATTTCAACATCTAGAGCTGCAAAAAATATTCCATTTTGTGCTGGTGCTCACAGCAAATGTCAGCATGCCTAGATTGAAAGTTAATATTCAAAAGTATTGATAATGTTATTTTTTTCTTTCTGCCTTTCACCTTGAAAAGTGGATGGTCACTAGAATATTTCACTAAGAACAGATCGCTGTTAGTAACAAGGTGGAAAAATAGTGCTGGGTCCACACTTCGGCAAGGAACTCAAAGAAGAAACCTGATCTCAAGAATGAGTTCAGTTTTATACTGAATTTCAAGGCAAATTGGCTACATCACCAACACTGTCTAGAATATTTTGATTCAACCGAGCCAAATGCCAGATTGCAAGAAGCAAGGAACAGTACGCATTTCGGAACAAGGGGCTCAGAAATTTCTCTACTTTGCAACTATGTTGTAGCATACTACACAATTTTTCTAACACTTTATCGGCACTATGAACACTTTCTTTTTATACAAATTAAAATTTTTTAAAAAACTGATTATACTTAGATGACTTACTTTTATTCTTTTGGGCCATTTCGGGTGGGCCGTAAAGAATAAAAGTAAGTCATCTAAGTAGGTATAATCAGTTTTTGAACATTTTTTAATTTGTATGGAAAGAAGACGCCATTTGTATTTTTGCCATCCAACATATTTCAATTGTAAGCACTTATATTTTGTTGAGGAGTTTATTTCCAAATTTCCTGTTGTGTGATCAGGGTGTCTACAAGTCCAGAAATAGTGCTGATTTTTTAAGGGCGATCCGGAAGTACTGAAAAAGTGCATATATTCCGCAAGAAGGCCCGGAATTTTTTTGAATTTGTTGTCATTTTTGTCGCAATTTGAGCTAGAAGTGTAAATTTTGAAATTTTTCGAATTTCGTTAATGGGAGATACTGAAAAAGTACTGAATTTTTACTGTTGAGGAGGTACGAAAATCTTGGGCATGTACTGAAAAAGTACTGTAAAAGTACTGATTTTTGGTCAGCCTGTCTTAGTAGACACCCTGGTGATTCAATTCCCTCTCAAAATTTTGAAGCCAGAACATGCTATGCAATGCTTTAATTCATACCTTTTCCACAGGCCTATCGTGTTATCAACAGGAATCACAATTTGTTTGTTTTTTTTTTGGCTTCTAGATGGCTGAAGCAGGATTTTATCAGCCTAACCCCCTAGGAGAGCCGGGCCTTGTCAAGTGCTTTATCTGCTTGAAAGAGCTGGATGGTTGGGAGATCAATGATGATCCATGGTAATGTTAATCTACTCATTTATCAACTTGTAACTACATAACGAGGAGGAATTCAGTATGGACTTTGGGGTGCAACTTTCACAATCGATTGGGTCGCCATAAAAATGTGAAGGCTGCCATAAAAGGGATTTTGAAGTGTGAAGGAAAATCACTCGATTATGAAGCTTACGAAAATCGTCATAGTGCACGATCAACTTCAGTAATTTTCAGTGCTTGAATCATGCTCTACGATGAATTTTAAAGAGTAAGCATGTCCTAAAATGCCAAATTCGTACGAACCTTGTTTTGTGGTCCATTAAAATTTGGGGAAAGTGTGAAACTTTCTGCACCCATGGTCTATGGCCCTGGTGAGGGAAAAGTCAGATTCTAAACGCTCAGTATAGAAGCACAGTATGGAAACTGATTTTTGTGAATAAGTGTAAAAAGTAATTACATTCGTTATAAACCTTAAAAAGCAGCTTTTTAGTTCTGAAATTTTTCTGTACAATTCATTGTATCTTATTTCTATAGAATCTCAATTATATTTCTACTGTTTCAATTTATTATTCTAGCATCCTTACATTACACTCTCCAATTATACTTTTTTTTATTATAATAATGTGCTTTTCTCGAAATTCAAAATACTTGTGATGTGAAGAAAAAGTAATGAAAAAGCAAATCTATTTGGACCGAGTTTAACAGAGAGGAACCAAGCCTTATCAGCTATTGCAAAATTTAACGGGGCAATTTAATTTTTTACAAGAGATTCTTTGTGCGGATTCCTTTGAAATTTTTAAGGAATTTGCTTCAAACTATGGAGAATTTTCACTGAAATTTGCACAAAAATCCGCACAACCGTTTTCATGAAAAAAATTAACTTGTCTGATTAAATTTGGCAGTAGCTGATGTGGCTTGGTTCCTTTCTGTTTAACGCGGTCCATTTGATAACCTGGTACCAGTAGACATACTGTAATCATCACCAGGCCAGAAATATGTCTGTTCATCCGTAATTTGAATCTTGTGTGCTGCGTCATTGATGATGGAGTCAGATACTCAAACTCCGTGAGCAGTTGGCTTGATAAGTCACATTTTAGTTTTGACTTGGCTAGTATTATAATTGCTTCAAGTTGGAATAGTTGATCTAGTTTTGGTGAAAGCAGTTTTGGTGTTTACAATTTCTTTTTTCTTTTTTCTGCAGGAAAGAACACGAATCTCATCAAAGCTCATGTCTGTTTATTAAAAAAAAGAAGACAGAAAATGAACTAACGTTAGAGGAGCTATTATTCATGTTGCAAGGAAGTATTTTGCAATCACTGGTAAGGAACTTGCAACTTTTTCAAAATTTACCTCAACTATTCTGGCGGATGTTTTCTCTATGCTGTTAAGCCTTTTTTTTGTTCCCTTTTATCCCCTGTTTGTGGTGAATTTTTTAATTCCTTTATAGTGGATAGCAACAGTTGCTCAACTCTTGACTGTGCTAAAGTATGAAGTTTGTCATGGATAACCTTTTCATCACACGTTTCTCTTAAAACTTTATACAGAGTCTTAGATTTTAGTTCTTACTAGAATTTTTGTAAGGTGTCTTCAGGTCTGAAAAACCTGAAAAACAGGAGATTGTCAGGGAAATCCGGGACAAGTCAGGCAATTTCATAAAGAAAGACAGGAAATGTAAAAACCCTTAAAACCTTCCATCAGGAAATAGTCAGCGCTGTCTATCATAACATGACATCATAAATGGAGTCTTTCAAACACAATATCTTGGTTATTATTCAACGGAGAAAGTTGCTGTTTAGACAGATCTTATTATTTTCAGTTCAAAACTTGATTCTGTGACCAACGCAACTGACCCATTAATCATTAACATAAACATTGTAGATTCATGGGCTCGACCTAGCTAGATTCAATAGGGGTAACCCTGCAAGAGAGATATAAAGGGGAATGGTTGGCATAGTTTGACATAAAATTAAGTTGCCTATTAATTTTATGCTGAACATAAAAATAACTGATAGGTAAGTAAGATTATAAAGAGAACAAAGATTTTATGCTACATACTGTTCTTACAGAAAAAGTGTGTTTACAATACAGACCCAGCGGAAAAAATTCCAGAACAAAAATTCCAGTGCGCAGAGAACAGAAAATGAAAAATGTTTTGCATTAATTTCATTGCAAATGACAGAATTATTTTCATTTTTTTCCTTCAGATATGAATCATTTAGCTAACTAAAATTGCAGTCCTTACCGATACCTCTTATTCCTCTTTTCACTATTCAGTATAACTCATAGCATTGAGCCCCAAACTAGACTGAGGTAGTACATACCATGTTATGCACTACCGCGGTGCATGACCTCCACAATCTGACTTCAAAGGACGATATCTCGGTTAATATTCACTCCAGAAAGTTGCTGTCTGAACAGATCTTCTTCTTTTTAGCTAATTTACAAGAATTAAGTATCAAAACCGGATTCTGTTACCAGCGCAACTGGCCCATTGATTAATTGACATAATATATATCTTTATTTGTTTTTTGGCTTGCACATGGCTTCTACAAATGCGTCGAATTTTTCTAAACAAGAAACAAGAATAAATATATGTATATAAAAAAAAAAAAAAAAAAAAGACAATGATATCAACCTGTCCCCTTTAAAAAATCGTTGATTGAATATGAATACATGATTTGACATCTTCAGAAAAAGATGCATAGTATGTTTTATGAAGGCAAATAGATCATTATAATTTTCCTTATGACCAAGTCAATACAGGAACCTCCGATGAAGATCCGATCCAAAGGTGTAGATTATGAATATTGACGGTGAAACTACCAGACCACGTATCCTGTTTGTGGGGTTTAAAAATCTCTACTCCGGTTTTATTTTTTTGAAGGAGAAAAAATTAATATCATCCTTTGAAGTTTTTACAAAGTTTTCTCTGCTCAGAGAAGAAAAATCGCAGAAGTTTTCCATGAAGTATGACAGGAAGTCTGCAACATCACAAACCGGATTACATGGACTGGTAGTTCCACCATCGATATTATGATGGGTAGTCGTCAGCCTTCAGTGGTGTAGTGGTTGAAGCGTTGATCCTATATTCAGGAGGTCCTGGGTTCAATTCCTAGCTAGGTAACCTGAGCTGAATTGTCTCAGGCGAAGTTCTCCCGGGGCTGAGTGGAAGGGGACCAGGAGATAAAGTGGAAGATCAGCCATGAGGGCTGTTTGAGAATTGGTAGGAGAGGAATAATGTTAGTACTCTCTACAGGTGTAAATATCTGTTTATGCATGTGTTTTCAATGACTTTTCATTCATCTTTTTACTTAATTAAAGCCCTTTTTATTATTTTATTTAATTATTATTTTTTTTTGCAGGAAAAAACTCATGCTGAGCAGAAGGAGAACTTAACAAATAATTTTGAAGAAGTTCTCAAAACACTCGAGAAGAAATGGAAGAAAAAAAAATAGATGAACCCATCTCATATCCATCTTATAAACCCATCTTAAAATATTTCATTTTAAGTCCACGTATTAAAACCTGTATGAATGTCTTCATTTTAAGTCTATGTATTATTACCTGTATAATATGCAATAGGAGGTAGTATTACACACCCGCAATGCAGTGTCAGATCTGTGGCTTTCAGTCCATTCATGTGGACCAGGAGTCTCGTAATTTTTTTGTCCGCCACAAGTAAAATCTGATGAGCCTTTTATTCTCCTGAGAGCCAATCATCTGATTTTCAAGATAGAATGGCAGACATATGGCACTGGATGAAAATTAATCCTGTAATTTCAGTTCCACCTTTTCGTAAACCAGGAGGTGGCTGGGAATGGAGTCTCAAACCAGCATTGTATTGATGGAAGTCAATCCTTATGCTGTTTTTGTCTTTAATTTGTCAACTGTATATTTTGCTGTATATTTAACTGTATATATAACTATTTTTCGCAATAAGGAACTAAGATTTTTGCCTCATCCTTAAATCCACCTGTCTGCTGAAGTGTAGTCGAATTGAAGGTATTCAAAATTTGTTCTCTGATCGGCTAGTCATGAAAGGCTGTACCATCAATCACCTTTTTTGAAAAGTTTAATTTGATCATGCGAAAACAGGTTTACTTAAATACTGTTAGCAAGCCAGCATTGGAAGTAAGTTTTTTAAATCTTGTTGCAAGAATTGAGCAATATTTCAATCATATTTGCCCCCTCTTAAAAGAAGATAAACATTCTTCTTTTTAAATACACAGACAATCATAATTTTTACAAGAAATTGACTCCGTTTATCGCAATGTTTCAAATTTTTTTATATTTTTATATTTTTTCAATGATGATCAAATTATAAACCTTGTAACTAACACTTTTGCCCATTATTTTTTGTTAATTTGTCTCATTCCTTCAAAATTTCAAAGAAAATTTGATACTATAAAATACAACAACAGAACTTCTGAAGTTTTATATGAGGATGGCCAAAGTGCGAAACCACGTATCTCCGTTTGCAACGTTGCAGACTTTCTGTTACACTTGATTTTTTCCTTTGTAAACTAGACATTGCATTTCATGAAAATTTCCTTGATTTTTCGTCTCTGTCGGCAGAATATTTTGTATGAATTTCAAGCTTGAAATTTGACTTGTTTCTGAAAATATTAATAGGAGCAGAAGAAATATCGCAATAGAGGTATGTGGTGTTGCATAGAGTACCTGTATAGCGAGAGTATGGACAGATCGCTTCATGGAGGGCTTAGGGCCCAAAAGTGCAGCCACCCTTCTAACCAACTTCTAACGCACAAAATTTCACTGCCAGTCTGCAGATTCAAATTCTAACCATGATGGCAAAGAATGTACAGAAATGAGCGTTCTTCCGCGAAATTGAGTAAATTTATGCAAAAACTGAGTTAAACACGTGCTTAATAAACGACGGTTCGTAACAATAGTATTAGTAAATCGTTCTGGATAATTGAAATTCATAGGTTGGCTGCATTTCTGGGCCCTAACTTTATTCGCAGAAGCATCGGTGAAGGCCTGATGGATTTTCGGAGTTTCACATCTGTCCATACTCTCGCTATACAGGTACTCTAGTGTTGCACTTGCGCCATCGACAATATGCTGCCCCTGGGAAGAATTTTAGTCTTCAGGAAAAATTTTTGTCAGGCAGGGATACCTAACTCATAATTTTTAGTTATATATAAATTGCAATCAGCAATCTCTCCAATATTACCGGAATTACCAAGTTTTATCTCCCAGAAAATAAGAAGGCAATGTCCTAAATATTTTCAGAAGCTTTGGCAACACTGAAAGAATCGTCTTAGTCATCTCATTCTCTCTGTTGTCAGATAGTCAGCTACCAGCAAGTAGCTCTGGGGGATGTGTTGCCGGTGATGACAAGAGTTCCAATCACTGTCCTCTGGTTTAAAAGACTGAAATAGTAGAAATCGACGTAAGAAATGTTCTACCCAAGAGCAATCGAAGAACAGAATAGTCTCAAGGGCCATTGAGACAGTAAGAAAAGGAGTCTTTGGAAGATACATTTGACAACGCCGAAGAAATGAGTGTTCGCTGTTTTGTTTTGATTTTCTTCGGCAGTCAGTACGGTTTTTCTCGGAGTTCGCGATTTTTGCCATCCTCGTAATTTGCGAAAAGTGAGTCTTGGTGCTTTCAAGGCTTCGTTTTCTGTGCGATTCGCGTGCCAAGTGTATTGTGTATTATTCCTTGCTTCTTATAAATCGGTAAGCAATTACCTATTGTCATAACTCTCATTGCACGTTATCAGTTTATCAACTCGGAGATTTGTAGGTTAGGACCGTTTGATTCCATACTTGATTTGTTTACCTGTTTTTTTTTTCCAGAAGAAGGAAAATTCATTTGATGACCAAGCTGTCAATACAGTCCACCCACAATAATATTCTTCTTTGCTGCTGTTCTCAGCCAGAGCTCTTTCAGATACCTTGAATATCTGCATCTTAGAGTTCATTAACTGTTGGTCAAATCGAATCCGTTTGGAGCATTGACCAGTGAATTCTGTTACCATTTTGCAATGCTACAACTCAAACACATTTCGGAAATGTAGGGTAATGATGGCTTAACCAAAGCATTATTTCAGCCTTAGTGGGACTAATTTATCGCAACTCTGAAAAGCCACGCAAACTCCATTTCAAGCTCTAGGAAAGTTATCACTGACAGGGACTGAAGGAACAGAAGGGCTTTCTCCTCAACTGTATTGGGAAGCTTGCCTGGCTGTTATTCAGCAACAGATTATTTTCTTGATAGGATTAAATGACACAAGACAAAGTTGTGTCCAAAGACTTTGAAGAGCATATCATTTTTGAAGAAGGGAGGGGTTTCCTGTCATGGGAGGAGTCCAATTCATGATTCCCTTGAACACAGCTGTCAGATTTTTACGGAAGCAAAGTGAATACTAGCACCTGCGGGATGTAAATAGGGTAGACTGCTTTCACCAGCCACATGAACTACCCTTTCAAGCTGGAAAAGACAACCATATATATGAAGAGCTAGACTTCCCAGAATTTGTGCTGATAAAAATCTGTAGATTGGAGAAGCGATTGTGCTTGGATGTACCTGAGAATAACTGCTAGGGAAGTTAGCATGCCATCAATGAAAAGTTCAGCATGGAGATAAAATCTGTGATTGACATGAGCGATGGGAGCATATATTGTCACCTTCCGGCCAAAGCATCACAAAGCGACATACAACGTTTAAAAATTTCCACCGCTGTTTGGGTAATTCTTTTAGAGAGAAATTGTTCAACAAAGCTGCTCGAAAATTTCAGGAACTTTTCTTTGTGCTGCTGTTAAAATTCAGTGAAATTTTCAAACAGATTCAACCAAAAATTTCTCTGTAAAAAATAAAATGGCGACAGAAATTTTTAATGGCGCATGGTGCTTGTGATACTTTGGCCGGAAGGTGACGATATTGAGATGTAAGGTGTAAGAAACTGTTGCTGCGGTAAGGGTGCAGGTGATTAGTTGGAATAAGACAAATGTAGTTTTCCTTCATGTCCAGGTAACTATTCCACTTTGTCTCTTTCAAAGAGTTTTTAATCTATTCTAATTTGTCTGCAAATTTCAAGGAAAGTTTTCATAACTTTTTGAGCACAATATTTTAACAGAAGAAATTTGGCAACCTTTGAATGCTCTCATGGTGTTTTTTTCAAAATACATTAGTGTCGTACGGTGTTAGTGCTTAGCATGCACCGACAAGAGTAATTTTTGTCGAGTTGGGTTAGAAAATTTGATTTCGAGATTTGAAGGGAAAATTCTCTGTAGTGTCCCTCGGTTTAAGTTACAAAGCAGCTTAGTTCAGTTTTTTATAAATGGAAGGCGCTAAATTGCGTTATGAATAGCATTCTGTACTCCGAACATAGCAGATTAGAATTTTGAGGAGCTTTTTCTCGAAACTAGGTGTTTTGAAGTGCAAGCTTCAAGCAGCCATAACTCGAGTTTGGTTTATGATTCGGCATTGTTTTCTACATTTTTTTTTAGATCATACTCTTCTGCTCTGGTATGAATGAATCAATTTCGCACTCGAAAGTATTCCCTGAAAAATTCAAAGGAAATTTCTCTCAACTTTCCTAAAAAATAAATGTGTCCCAAGAAGAAATTCGGCAACGTCAGGCGTAATTGACAATACTTAATTGGACTTCATTTTGCAATTCGGAACCAACAAATCCGGCTCGTCGGTAAAAACACTTATGTGCTCGGGGAAATCAATGGTCCATGCGTTTTTTCTAAACTGAGACAGAAATTCTGGTTCCCGATCGCAAAATGCAGTCCAAATGTTGTCCCTTGGTGTAGCTAAAAATTTTCCCGGAGGGAGTGGGCTGGGAACCCAAATCAAAACTCCTCATGCTGGGGGTAGGCGGTGGATTAAAAATTCCATAAAATCACGAGAACTTTAGGTTTTTGCTGTACAGTTTTCCCATCAAATGGGGAGGGGTGGGGAGCTGGAGGTGTCCAGACCCATTGAAACCCCCTGCCTCTGGGCTACATGCCACTTAGTCATGTCAACGGTATTAAAGAAACGCGTTTCTTTGCATTTCTTTCCTCACACTGCGCTGTTCCACCAGCAGTGAAAATTTGGACTGCATTTTGCAATTTGGAACTATAGATTCTGGCCCGGTTTAAAAACAACGCATGTGCCATTGGTTTCCCTATGCACATAAGTGTTTTTTCTGATGAGCCAGAATGTATAGGTCCAAATTGCAAAATGCAGTACATTTGTCCTTTCCCAAGCGAAGGAACGTAACTGCATTCCACTGTTGCAAAATTGGCTCAATTAATTCAATCTCTCACGAGAATACGACTGACTGCTCAATGTCTTTCCAAAATTTCACTAATTTCCGCGCGTAGGTATTCACAAGAAAAAGCAGCGAAATTTTCAGTCGGAAATGGCCAAAATTTTCCCAGTAGTAATACATCTTGCGGACGTAAATTTAGCAACGTTTAAATGGAGTTACGAGCTACGCTCTTTCGTCCCGGAAACGACGAAATTTCACTAGTAGCAATGATGCATTTCCTAATTTTAAACTCTGCACGAACAATCGATTCTGAGCGAGGTTTCGATATGTATCGATTGTGTTACGTACACTAAAGTGGGCGAAGTGCAGCCAACACTGCCGCGCTAAGGAAAAACGCCGTATGAATCTTCAGGTGTTGCCAAATTTTCTTTGATGAAACACAAATTTCCTCGTAAAATTATGAATATTTTCCTCTCAATTTTTCGGATCATTTTGTCAGCAAATTCACATAAATTTCCCGAGAATTTCAAGGGAAATTATTCATTACTTTCCTAAAAAATGAACATTATATCGAGGAAATTTTTGCAACTCTCGAATGTTCATACGGCATTCTTCCTCAGCACGGCAGAACATTATTCTATTAATTGATGAGGGTTTCTATTAACGCTTGACCAGTGGCGTGGCGTGAATTGCGATATATCGATTGTTATGCCATTTAAACCTATGGTAAAGAATCGATTATTACGGTGTTCGCTGCGAACACCCTGTTTATCGATCCTTTTCCATAGGTTTAAGTGGCATAACAATCGATATATCGCAAAGCACGCCACGCCACTGCGCTTGACGGAGAGCGGGGAATTTTAAGGCAAAAAACTCTTTAATAACGGTCATAATTAGGTAGAAAGAAAGCGCAAAGCGTGGCATTATGATGAGAGGGCTCACTAACCATCAACTCATCACCATTCACCATAGTCAACGGATTTCTTCTTCATAATTTCTGTCTCCCTAAAGGCCTCGATACACCATCAAAGTGTCTCCATCCAGATGAGAAGAAGTGTGTCCTGTGTCGAGAGTCTATGAGACGGAGGTTTTAAAAGACTGCTACCGAAGTACGTTTTTTTGCAGTTTAACTGCCGAGTAGAGTTTCCACCCTCTGCAAGGTGTCTATGCAGGTCTGGAAAACCTAGAATTTTCAGAGAAATCAGGGAAAAGCCAGGAAATTTCACGAAAAAAAAAATGGAAAATTTAATAATCTTTAAAATTAAAATCGACCCGTATCCTTCTCTGATTCGGAGTTTTATGCTCTTAATCACACTGTCAATACTGCCGTGCTAAGGAAGAACGCCGTATTAATTTTCGAAAGTTGCCTAATTTCTTTGATTAAAACATGTTTTTGTGAGGAAAGCTATGCATAATTTTCCTTGAAATTTTCAGATATTTTACATGAAATCGCAAACCAAATTTCCTGAAAAATTTGAAAAAAATAATCACAATTTTCCCGGTAAATTCGACTTTTATTGAACTAAATATGGCAAAATCTAAAGGCTCAAACGGCGTTTTTCCTCAGCGAATAATCTACAAAGAGGAATTGCAATACCAGTCAATTGAATGATTGATACCTGAAGAAAAAATGCTCACATGTTTTCTCATTATCATGGAAATCAATGCCAAAAATCGTTCCTTTTCACCTCTACACTTGAAAATTGTTGATATGATAAGTCAGGGAATTTTGATTATTTTGGTCAGAGAAACCTTGGATTGTCAGAGCATTCTTTTTCGCCGCAAAGTGGATCGAGTCAATTAGAGAGGACATGAAATTTTTGACTAAAACTGCAAATTTTGGAGGTTATTTCGTCACATTGTGCAGCCCTGGGGGTGCTGTAAGAGGAAAATTTCACGAGGAAACTAATGGAACCACTTTTAGAACCTCAAAGCTTTTTATAAACGGAGTTATCAGTATTTACAGTTTCCAAATTTTGTCCGACTTCCCCTATGGACTCGATCCACTGTGCGCCGAGTCTGAAGACACCCTTTAAAATTAGCAGTGGCGATTCTTGAAAGTTGGCGAAACTGTTTTTCCTCCATTTAAATGTATGTAGAACAATCGATTCTCGGTCAGGCAAATTGCCTCTCCTAAAATCGATAATTTCAATGGATTTTAATAGAGGGAAAGCAACATTACCAACTTTGAAGAATTGACACTGCTAGGAAAGTTTTGCACTGCAGCCGAAATATAGACGTATTTATGCTAAAAGGAACTATGTTACACGCAAACCCTATGCACATAGTTCCTTTTAGCATAAATACGTCCATGTAAAGCGAGGCAGTTGAGAATAAGCTCCTGCCATTCTTTTCCATCCGTGTTTCCATGTGGTCTAGTAATTTTACGGAGCTGATCCGATGAAAATACCAATTACGAAAATGGTAATGACAGTCGTTGTCGCTGTTTCCACGTGTGTCCAGGGAACTCGT